AGGGAAGTAGGTAGGGGAGGGCAGTGTGTAGAGGGAAGTAGATATGTGTGGGCAGGGGACGGCAGCAGGCAGGAAATGGCAGTGGGCACGGAAGTTATTAGATAGCGGATTGCAGTATGAAGGGTAGGGCAGTAAGCCGGATAGTGGGATAATGGACCATTTTCCACCATATCCTCCATTACACTATCCATCATCAGGATTGGATGTAGGACAGGAAAGGGCAGAACGCAAGGGAGTGAATTGAGTAGAGGAGGGCGGTAAGAAAGGGCTGGAACTCTTGTCACCTTATTCCCCATTATTCTGCCCTTCATCAGGATTGGATGTAGAGCAGAGAAGGGATGTAGGAAGTGAAGTAGGGAGGGAAGGACAGTGAGAAGAGAAGGGAAGTAGGTAGCAAAGGGCAGTGGGCAGGGGAAGAACTCCTGCCCCTTATCCCCCATTACTCTATCTTTGGTGTCGAACGTATTGTAATGAATTTTGATATTTTTGGTCTTTCGGTGATCGCCATCTAGTGGAATCGGAGTAAATTGCAGCGCGTTGAACGGTCACTTTTTTTGTTTTTTTAAGGTTCGCCAAAGCGACTCTGATTCTCATCCCTCTGCTGGGGACACACGAAGTCTTCTTCACCTTTGTCAGCGATGAACACATAAAAGGGCTCACCAAAGACATCCTGCTCTTCATCCAGCTGACTCTCAGCTCCTTCCAGGTATACAGCCACGGGGATCCGGCTCTTGTGTCGGGATTGGGGATTCACTTCTTAAGGCAGAGATAAGTCAGGGAGCGAAGCACCGAGAATTAAGTCCTGCCTCACCATTCAGACTATAGAAAGTGAATATGAGGATCCCCAACATCCCTTTAGATGTGCAGATCTGTCTTTCTCTGGATGTGCTGCTTTGTAGTAGATGGCAAAGGGATGATGGGATATCAAATCCCTCGCGTACTGTGTGAGAGAAGTAAACAGGGACAGTCAGATACTTCTGCTGCCTATCTTTCACTTGGTAAGACTATTTATACAGGTGGAGAGAATATAAAAGAATCCATTTTAATGTTGTTTACTTTACTCATTTTTATATTTGTAGGGCTTCGTGGTCGCCTATTTATATTGTTTCACCAACGGGGAGGTAAGTGAACGCGGAGCATCAGATACATTTTTAGGTTAATATTAAAGTGTAGCTATTGTTATTTCTTTTAGTTTTGAAGAAGGTAAAGACGGTTCTTTTTATTTTGCCCCCTCCCCGGGGAGATCCCCCCC